TTTTTTTTTTAAGAGTTCACAGGAAATCTTTTCTTTTTTTTTTTTTTTGGTGGTGCTGGGGATTGAACCCAGAGCCTTGTGCCTGGGAGACAAGCACTCTGCCAACTGAGCTATATCCTCAGCCCCTCACAGGAAGTCTGTTGTCTTTATTTTCAGCTCCCTGAATATCAACAAAACAGTGCTAAAGCTTGAATACCATTAAATTCCCTTAATAAAGGAGGTAGAGCCACAGATTGCTATTTCTTTCTTCCAGACAGATAAATATCTGTTAAATTGGTCAAACTCCCTGGGGACAATAATTACTTATTCTCCCTCAGGGGTTATCCTTCCTGTCAACAGATTTCTCATAAATATTGGATAGATTCTTCCTGCTGCAGTTTGAAGCTGTATTTCCCCACGGCCAGCACTGACCAGATCTGTTGAACAGCTGGTCAGCATCAGGACTCTGAAAAGTGCGTGTTGGTAGTCACTCTGTCACTGCTAGATTGCTCTTCTCCAGGCTCTGCTGTTGTCACCATGGACGGCCATGTGGGCTTTTGCACCATTCCAGCCCTGGCCGGTTGGGAGTTCCTGCTCTGTCTGTGTCCAGGTCATCTAACAGCCTGTGAAGTCGCTTTCCTGCAATTCAGCAGGTGTCTGTGGAGGGCTTCCTGTGGGCTACTGTTTCAGGCCTCAAGTGGACAAGGTTTCGTGAAGGATGGAGTACTTACTGAAAAGTCATATGAAACAAAAAATTAATGTAACAAGTGGTGAGATGCATTGAGGTTATAACCTGCTGCTAGGGTGCAGACTTCCAGCTCGGAGCCCTCGTGTAGTTTTGAGTCCTGACCTTCGTGTTTCCCGGAGCATCTGACAGTCCCTGGGCGTGGGGAGCTGGAGGCCATCGGGGTGTGCGCCCGTTGGCTTGGCAGATCTGAACTTGTGGACAAAGAGAGGCTGGGAGGCCTGCCCCTTGAGGTCATCCCTAGACCTTGCTGTTGAAGAAAGTAAACAGATACAAAGGCTCCCTCTCATCAGCCAGTTGTGAAGGTCTAGGAGGCAGTAGCTAGGAGCTTCTCTGGCCACTTTAGCTCCCTCAGTTTGGGGGAAAAAAAGATTCATGGAGAAAAGACCAATCGTTCAGGTTTTGAACTTTAAAAGGTGGGATTCGTGCAGTCTAGTTGCAGTGTCAGAGTTGGGACCTGCAACCCCATGGCTGGTCCCTCTTTCAGTGGTGTAGAGTGCTGCCCACTATAAGGTACAGGCCAATCACAGAGCAGGCTCCCCTTCAGTGCATTAATTGGGTACTGGCCTCAGATCTAATAGGCTTGGATGAGCTATTGGATTTCCTGCTGGTGCTCGAGTGGAAAATCTATTTGACTTTTTTCTCCCCAATCTAAAATATATTTGTGGGGATAAACTCAAGCAGGAGACTCGTCTTTGGCCCTATTAGAAGAACTTATTTCCAGGGCTGTTTCTTCTCCTCTTATTAACCATAAGTCACTGAACCCTCCAGTGTAGATGCACAATACCAATGAGCACAGGGAACGATGTCACTCGTCAGGGAAATGCAAACGACAAGGGAATACCGCAGTGGGATATCACCACCACCCACGAGGGCACTGCTATCAGGAAAAACAAAAACCCAAACAAACTAAAATCCCAGAAATTAACAGGTATTGGCAAGAATGAGGAGGAATTGGAGCCCTGCTGAACTGTCAGTAGGAATGTCAAATGGTACAGTGCTGCTGTCATAGAATGACCTGATGATCTAGCACTTTCACATCTGGGTATGTGTCCGAAAGAATCTAAAGCATGGTCTCAAAGCTGTCTTTGTCCACCCATGTTTGTAACAGCCTTATTCACAATAGCCAGGAGGTGGACGCAGTCCAAGTGTCTGTTGGTGTAGGTGAATGGATGGATGGATGAATCGTGGTGAACACATACGGTGAAATGTTTTAGGCCTTAACAAAGAGGCCATTCTGACACATGCTCTACAGGAATGAACCTCGAGGACATGGGTGTGTGAAATAAGCCAGTCACAGACTGACAGACCTTGTGTGGTTCTATTACACGGGGAACCTGGCGTTGTCAAATTCATAGAGAGCGGAAGTAGAATGGTGGCATCCAGAGGCTGGGGGGCCAGTAGAGTGTAGGAAGCAGCTGTTCCGTGGGTGCAGAGCTCAGTTTTGCAAGAACAAAAGACTTCTGGAGGTGGATGGTGGCCACGGCAGCACAACAGCACGAACCCACTGAACACTACTGAACCGTACTCTTGACAAATGGGTAAGATGGTGAATTTCATGTTAGGCACATTTTACCACAATGACCAATTCCATCTGAAAAAGAACTGAATGGTCACTCTTGAGCCCTCACCATCCCGTGCTTTGTGTCTACAGACAAAATCTAGGATCTGTGTTGGCCACGGATGCTGCCAGATGCAGCCACCAACACAGCTCTTCCTTCTCCCCATCAGAAGCCCCTCTGTCCCCTCCAGGGCCAGCCTCCTAGTCCTACTAACGTGTTCTTGAGAAAAGCTTTGCGTGTCATCCATGAGGTCAACCTCTGTAAGGGGAGCTGTCTTGGCCAAGGGCTGTCCGCTGTGGTTTAACATTTGGGGTTTGTTTTTACTGCTTAGTGGAGTAGAGAACAATGAAGTGCTGTCCCGTCAGGGGGGTGCCCCTGCAGTCCTGTCCACAGGAGTCTGAGGGTTGTTTTTCTGGAAGTGCTGACAGATGAGCCAGGCATGACTCACTCCAGCCTCACCTGCCCTCCCCTCAAACAAAGGCAGGCTTTTGACTGCAGACCAGGCGTGGGCTTGATGGCCTTCACGAGATTGGATGGACAGTTCTGGCTTCTTTGCATCTTCCAGACAACCTTGCTGAATCAAGCAGTCCGTAGACATTTATTATCTTGACAGCGATTCCAGACATCAGTTGCTTCTTCAGATAATCTACGTTAAACCTGTTTTTCCTTTCCAGGAGCTTGGTACACTGTGCTTGATGGAGTTTGTTCACGTTTCTGTTTTTCAGGATCTCTTCATGGACTCGCTTCCCGTGCTTGTTAAACGTGTCGCGTTGCTCCCAAGACCATGTAAGACCTGCTGACCTTTAATCTCCTCAGAGCAAGAACGAGGCTGCAGGTAACCCAGCTCTCCTGCGTGGGGCTCGTGTTGAGTGTGTGACTCTGAGTGGGTAATAGGTACACCTTCAATTATTTGGTCCAGTGATTTGAATTTAAAATGTTTGGCTTTGCCAATCTACTTGGCTTCTGTTTTGTGGCTGTATATTCTTATATATGAAATTGAAAACCTGAATTATTGGGAAACCTACCTGGAAGCATCAACTCCACCTTGTCTCAAATAGTGATGGGCAGTTACAATGGAAAGGAGAAGTTTGGAGCAAATTTCACTTTGCATTTTGCCTTAGGGTTAGCGTCCTTGAGCTAACTGGGACTGCATGGGGAGTTAAAAGACCCTAATACTTTTTTTCTGATGGCCACATTCTTATGAGCCAGCTGAAGGCCTTTTCCCCTCATTGTTCTCTTTGTTTGTGGGGCTGGGAATGCAACCCAGGGGCTCTCACCTGCTGGGTAAGTGCCCTCCACTGAGCCACATCCCAGGCCTTCCTCAAAGTGAGGATGCCTGAAGTCTTTAGAGAAGCTCTGGGTGAGTTTTATTAAAATGTTTTTCTGTCCCACTCTTGTTTTATTTTAGTCTCATTTAATTTTTTTTTTTTTTTTTTTTTTGATAATGGGAATTGAACCCAGGGGCACTCTACCTCTGAGCAACATCCCCAGCACTTTTAGTTTTAATTTTCAGAGCTTCTTGCTAAGTTGCCCAGGCTGGCCTTGAACTTGAGATCCTTCTGCCCTAGCCTCCTGAGAAGCTGGGATAACGAGGGGGCTAGGTGTGCAGCCTTATTTTTGAGGACTAATCCTTTTCTTGTGTGGTATTCCTAGCTTTGTGATCCATGAAAACTTTGCAGAGCCTGCTACATGGGGTTGTGTTACCATAAATACGGTAGTTTTTGAGCAGTGACCTTTTTATACAACTGGCATCCGTATCTATGCCTTTTGCACCCACGAGTTCAGCCAGTAGCAGGGTGAATATATTTTTTAAAAATTGCTTCTAGCCTGGTGCTGTGGCACATGCCTATAATCCCAGCTCCTGGGGAGGCTGATGCAGGAGGATTGTAAATTTGAGGCCAGCCTGGGCAACTTAGTGAGGCCTGATCTCAGAATAAAAAAATGGGCTGGAGTGTAGCTCAGTGATGCAATGCTTGCCTAGTATATGTGCAGCCCTGGGTTCAGTCCCCAATGAAGAGAAAAAAGCACCTATACTAAATACCTACAGACTGTTTTCCTATCAGGGTGTAACAACTATTTACATAGCATTTACATGACATTAGATATTATAAATAATCTAGAGATGATTTAAAATGTTTTTGAGGCGGTGTGTAGTTTACGCACAAATACTATGCCGTTTTATATGGGGACCTGGAGCAAGCTCAGATTTTGGTGTCTGTGGGGATTCTTGATTCAGTTCCCCAATGTTGTGGTGAGTTGTTAGCTCTTCCATTAATGTATGTGTAATGAAAATGTATCTTGCTGATCACTGAAGCATTTGTCTGGTCTGACAGAGTAAAGGAACTTTCCCTTCATCTTTGTCTTCAAGAACCATTATTTAAAACCTGCCAACATCAAGCATGAAGGAGGTCTTTGCCTTCAGCTGATTTTTGTACCTATTCAACTTTTGAATTTATGTCATGCCACAAATAATTTATTTAAAATAACTAGCACACGAGTTTCCATTATTGTTTATGTGGCTAATGAGCAGCTTCTCACAATGAGGAGAGCCAGTTCAGTAAGCAACTCTTGTCTCTGCTCCGAGTCATGCCAGGCACAGACAGAAGTTGATGGTTTCCTGTGTAATGTGTCAGATGTTATTTTTGAGAAAATTTTGTCATAATGAGATGTAACTAGCTTATGGCTCTTTTATGATGCAACTGTTCTTAATTTAGGTTAAAATGGGGAACTCCGAGAGTCAATACACCCTTCAAGGATCTAAAAATCATAGCAATACTATTACTGGTGCTAAGCAAAAGCCTTGCTCCCTGAAAATACGCAGCATTCATGCAAAAGATGAGAAGTCGTTGCATGGATGGAGTCACGGAGGTGGTGGAGCAGGTTACAAGTCCAGGTCCCTGGCCCGGAGCTGCCTTTCTCACTTTAAGAGTCACCAGCCTTATGCATCAAGACTTGGGGGACCCATGTGCAAACTCTCCAAAGGCACTGCCTACTCTAAGCACAGGGCGAGCGCCCCAGGAAATGATTTCCAGGGCAACAGTGCTGCTTTCTCACCTGAGAATGGCTTCCATTATGTTGGCCATGAGCCGGCAGATAACCACATCACCTCGAGAGACTGCAACGGACACCTTCTCAACTGCTATGGGAGGAACGAGAGCATGGCCTCCACCCCGCCAGGGGAAGACCGCCGGAGCCCCAGGGTGCTCATCAAGACCCTGGGGAAGCTGGATGGGTGTTTAAGGGTGGAGTTCCACAGTGGTGCCAACCACAGCAAAGGGCCCGCAGGGGACCCCAGTGGACCTGTGCAGCTGCTGAGATACTCACCCACCCTGGCTCAGGAGACCTCCCCTGTGTCCGAGGCCAGAAGGGACTCCAGTGCCGGCTCCCCCGCCAGCCAGCGCCCTTCTCCCACCGACTCCCGCCTGCGCTCCAGCAAGGGCAGCTCCCTGAGTTCCGAGTCGTCCTGGTACGACTCCCCTTGGGGCAACGCTGGGGAGCTGAGCGAGGTGGAGGGCTCCTTCCTGGTCCCCAGCACGCCCGATCCCACCCTCCCCATCAGCTTCCCACCAGGTGATGCCAAAAAGCCTTTTAACCAAAGCTCTTCCCTGTCCTCCCTCCGGGAACTGTACAAAGATGCCAACCTGGGGACCTGCTCCCCCTCCGGCATCTGCCTTTCCGACGAGTACATCGGCTCCCACACCTGCCTAAGCAACCGCGTTTCCTTTGCCTCCGACATTGATGTGCCCTCCAGGGTGGAGCACAGGGACCCTGCCCAGTACAGTTCCTTCACCCTCCCCTGCCGCAAGTCCAAAGCCTTCACCGAGGACACTGCCAAGAAGGACACCCTCAAAGCCAGAATGCGACGGATCAGCGACTGGACCGGAAGCCTGTCGAGGAAGAAAAGGAAACTCCAGGTGAGGCCCCCTTGGGGCAGAGGGATGGGCCCCGAGTTTCCTGTCTGTAAAATGGGAATGGTATTAGGAGGCACTCAGTCGCTCGGGAAGCCAGCTAGACGGGGGAGTCTGGCCTGAGACCTGGCTCATGTTTCCAGGGTCTGTCTTTCTTAATTACTGCAGACGTGTGTCATCACTCGTAGCCTGTGACCTCGATCTCTCCATGTCTGAGTCCACTCAGGCTGCAAACTAGGTACCTCTGCCTGGCCGGCTCCAACTGCAGGTCTGTTTGCCACAGTTCTGGGGGCTGGGAAGAAGGATGGGGGTGCCAGTGTGGTCAGATTCCAGGGAGGGTCCTCCTCCTGGTGCAGATGGCTACCTTCTTGCTGAATCCTTGGTGACAGGGAGAGAGGGAGCCCTAGTCTCTTGTTAGAAGGTCACTGATGCCATTGTGACTCTGCCATCACGGCCTCCTCTAAGCCCAGTCACCTCCCCAAGGTCCCACCTCCCAAACCACTGCAGTGTGTGTGAGGGCTTCACAGGGGACTTGGGGGAGGCAGACATTCAGTCTACGGCTCCAGGTTCTGTGCTTGATTCCATGGTAGCCCCACAGGAGTGACCTTAACTACTGGACAAACTGTCCTTAGGTCGGAGCTGGAGAGAATTCCTGAAGCATCGGAGGATTTTGCTGGACTTCCTTCAAAAAGGAAGTCCAAACAAAAAGGATTAGGATGATTGTCATTATTTTCTGGATAACTAGGCTTCCTGAACTTTTTATTACTTGAAAAAATAAAATAAAGTTTCTATGTTTAAATCAGCATGTTAAAGAAAAAAGAAAAGGAAGAAGTTGTTAGGGTAGTATTCCTATGGGTGAAATCTGGCCTCTTGCTCATGGGGGTAGCTAGCCACTTTTGAAAGCATCTTATAGCTAAGTACAAGTAATAGCAAAAATATAATGCTGATATGATAAGAAGAATGATGATGATGATGATGATGATACTTTTAATGATATATGAAGATTTTAAAAATATTTTTTTAGTTGTTGATGGACCTTTATTTTATTTGCTTATTTATATGTGGTTCTGGGAATCAAATGCAGTGCCTCACATGTATGAGGCAAGCATCTACCACTGTTACAACTCCAGCCCCGACATATGAAGTTTTAATATGTCAGCAAAGTGGTTAGCCACCAGGAAGGAGAGTAATCCTTTTTCATTAACTAGTGACAGTTGCTAGGTTTTTGGGTTGTGGATGTTTCGGTTACTTTTAATAACAGAAGGGAGAAAGCTTCCCCCCTCTCGCCCCTACCATCACTTTGTATAAGTCACAGAGCTGAAGAGAATTCGACTGGGCAGTCAGTCTCTAACAGAATCATGTCTCATCCATCCTAGACAGACAAATATAAGACTAAAGTTTTGTAGAGCTTCAGGAATAGGAAATAACATGACTTCTCTGAGTAGGTCGTTACAGCTTTACTGAGCTTACCCTAGCTATTTCCTTCTTGTGTGTGATGTCCACTGTCATCGCTCCTGTACCGTGCTCGGCTGCCCGTCTCCTCCCCATTGAGACAAGGAACAGATGATCCCCTGCCTGGCTCCAGGGCCTCCTCTTATCCCTGAATATAGTAATTAGCTTCCTCCTTAGTCATCACTTCCTGGGCTAAACCACTAAACAGAGCAGTTACAATCCAGAACACTGTAAGTCACTCTGGACAGGAGAAGAAAGAAATCTGTGAGCTGAATTTTAAAGCTTCTGTTTGGAGGTGACACTTTTGACCTCTCACATTTATTGGGCAGAGTGAGACACATGGCCCTGGTAACTTCAAGGGAGGCGGGGATGGGAGAGGCCTAGGGGAGGACCAAGAATATTTGGTGGGTACACTGGCAACTGCTGCAGATTTATCATGGCCTAGCTGAAGAACACAGTCCCCCAGGGTTTCTTGTAGTTCTAAGTCCAAGAACTACAGCCATGTTGTCTCAGGGAGTTTCTACAGAAACTACCGGTGGTTCTTACTCGGTAATAGAGAAAAATGGCCAGTGAACAATTACAAGGTATCGATTTAGTACTGGCTCCTAGGATGTGAGGAAAGGCCACCGATTTTCCTTTAGCTTCTAAGGAGTTAAATCCTCCATCCCAGCCTATTGGGGCAAAATTGACAAACAGAATTTGTGTGTGTTCAAAGCACACACCTTGATAATTTGAAATGCAGGTACATTGTGAAGTGGACACCGTGAGCAGGCCTGTTAACACACTTACACTTCACAGAGTTGCCTGATTTTTTTTTTCTTTTTTTTGAGTCAGAAGATGTCTTGGCAAATTTCGAGAATGCAAACCAATTGTATTAGTTGCAATAGTGTGTGTTAAATCTCTAGAACCTCTTCATCTTGGGTAACTGCAACTTGTACACGTTGACCAACTTCTCCCTGTGGGTCTGCCTTCGGACCCTGGGAAGCTTTCTGCTCTGCTTCTATGAGTTTGGCTATTTTGGATCATGCAGGGTCATCTTTATGCTGAGTGACATCTCTTGACTCCCTCTCTATTTTGGCTACAGTTCCCTGGCCATCAAGAATATATCAGTCCTCGTTTGTGATTATCTGATCGGGCAGAAATGGAAATCATATGCCTTAAGTACATACATAGCAAGCTCTAGGTTTCACAAGGACGAGGAATTCTGTATGAACTTATTTAAAAAATATTTGATTTTTTTTTAAAAAAAGGCCCTGTTTTAGCCTGAAAATTTATGAGGGGCTATTAGGATTATAGGATTAGAAATTGGTTAGAGACTAGGGAAATGCGCACCTATGTATGAAAATCAGTTATAAATACTCATGTGCACTAAGGAGAATTGCTTCACTGTGGTTGAATGTTGAACAGCCCTACAACCTGAAGTCTCTATCTCACGAGAATCAACAAGAGTGTTTATAAGTCACATGTAACTTTGGCACTTGTGTGCTTTTCTCTGGCAGAGTCCTGCTTGTTTTGAAACGCCCTATTATGGCTCTTGCAGGGTAACAGAGTAGTCCCAGTGTTTTGGGGCAGTGAGTCAGAGAGTCACATTTGTAGCTGAAATGATGTTAACGCTAGCTAAGAATTCCTTCATCTGTTAGGAGTTTTGGAAGTTCAACAAAGTGACAAAAATCTGAAAGTATTTTGAAAGTTTCCTAAGTGACTCACAGCGGCTGCTTTATTTGCTTTGTTCTACACAGGCATCAGTGTATAAATAAATATGACCACGGGACAGAGTGTAAACACAGTGGGAAATAATATTTTCATTACTAATAGCTGTGTTTGGGGCTCGGTTGTTTATAGCTCCTGGGCATTTAGAAATATTCTTCAGTTGCATGATCATGATTTTCTTTCAAAAGGCAAGTAAATGCTACTTGTTTTCTGGATGAAATTATTTTTATATCATTATTTTATTTATTTATTTTTATGTGGTGCTGAGGATCGAACCCGGCGCCTCACACGTGCTAGGCCAGCGCTCTACCACTGAGCCACAGTCCCAGCCCCTGGATGAAATTTTTGAAAAAAGAATCTGTCCACACAGAGGAATATTCAAAATAATCCCTTTAATCAATGGTTCTTGGCCCAGTTAGCCCCACTTTTATTTTAATATGTAGGGAAAAATTATTGAAAGCCCAGTTGTAGTTGAGTGGACTTGAATGTATTTAGCTTTCTCTGCCATTGCCTATCTAAGCTATGAATATGGAATATCTGTACCTTTCAGGTCAGGAGTTAAGTTCACTTTTGGCTGAATAAGATAGTACTCAAGTGAAAAGATGTAAATAAATGCATTTTTTTTCCAATGAAAGAAATTCCCCAATTAAGTAAAAAATATGAATTATGGAGAAAAACTACAATCACTGGCAGTACCCTTGGTGGATAAGGAATCCTTGGGGTGTGGTATTTAATATAGGAATTGGGAAAATAACCTAGAGATCCTTAAGTCCAAAGTCTAGACCTGGGCAATTGGCCAGAAGCTGAGGACAGTTTATCACAGAAGAGGAAGAGAAGTTTGCGTGGTTTTACACAATAACATCAACATCTGTATTCCCCACCCTGCCCTGGAAACGGTGACTTTATAACTTAGTTTTTAAATAATATAGGTTGAAAATAGATTGCAAGAGTGTGAATTCTTTCCTGGAAGTCATTGATTTCACAGTTAAAAAATAACTAAAAAGAAATATCATTCTAGAAATTTTCATTAGTGGTTTAACTATACCAGTTAGTTTCTTGATGCTCAGCGCAGGTTAGATACAGGAGAGTCTGTGGTATTTATCGACCTCTCTAAGTGTCTGTGCTGCTGATAAATATTGGCTTGGGCAGCCCCATTCCTATGAAGTGCTCTACCACTGAGCTACATACCAACTCCAGGCAACATGGTTTCTAAACTTCTTTCTGTCTTGAAGATATGATGATTAAAAATGTATTCTTATTATAAGAATTTTATTGTAAGAATTAGCTGCTACCCATATGATACTGAGGCTGTGTAGAGGGGGGATGCTTTGGGTGCTGGGACCTCTGATGCATGATCATTTGTGTTTGCACAGGAGCCACGGTCCAAGGAGGGCAGCGACTACTTTGACAGCCGCTCTGATGGGCTGAATGCAGATGTGCAGATGCCCCCTCCGGGCTCTGCGCTGCTGTGGCCAGGGGGCTCGGCTCACATCCTGTCTCAGAGGAGCGAATCTGCTCATGCGATTGGTAGTGATCCCCTGCAACAGAACATTTACGAGAATTTCATGAGAGAGCTGGAAATGAGCAGGACCAACCCAGAGCACATAGAAACATCCACGGAGACCATTGAGTCCAGCAGCGAGTCACTCAGCTCGCTGGAGCAACTGGATCTGCTGTTTGAGAAGGAACAAGGAGTGGTCCGGAAAGCCGGGTGGCTCTTCTTCAAACCCCTCGTCACTTTGCAGAAGGAGAGGAAGCTGGAGCTGGTGGCACGGAGGAAATGGAAACAGTACTGGGTAACTCTTAAAGGTGAGTGCCCTGTGACCTGCTGTGGGCGGTAGGTGGCCCCGTGTTCCCCGTGCTTGCCTAGGAGTGCCAGTGAGGTCAGCGTTGACTGGAGCTAGCGGGCAGGGCTTCCGTGCAGAACCTCAGGCGTGCTTCACCACAAGCACTTCGCCAAACCTGTATAAAATGGTTCACTTACTATTTGGGTTTATATTTAGTCTAACCAATAATTAGTTCATTTAAAAGTGATTGCTTATCATTTTATATGCATTACTGTACCACTCTTTGATACTTTTCCTGCTTCTTAGGAAAGAAAAACAAAAATAAAACCCAAACCAAACTAAATGAATTGCTAAATGTAGTTCAGAAATTTCATATTTTGCGTACAGTCAGCATTTGACAGTGATTCCTCCTAGCTCTCTCTTCCTGAGGATCCTTAAGGTCATAGCGACCCCAAACAAAAAGAGCAAGACTTTTAAAGCCAAGACTGATTTTCCTAATGTCACACAGACATTCAAAACATAAGCATGCAGATTTTCTTCCTCAAGTCAACATAAACCTAGCAAGATATTTAGAGGAACAAAGTTGTGTAGTGAGATCCGACAGTGATTCTTCCTAGCTTGAGTATCAACTGGATTATTGGATTTCTGTCATTCCACATTTACGAACTAAGAAAGTATAATTGTTATCCTCAGTGCAGCAACTTGCCTGCCTGCCTGCCTGCCTTCCTTCCTTCCTTCCTTGTCTTGAGAATTGAACCCAGGGCTTTGACCATGCGTGATAAGCCTGTGCTTTACCACTGAGCTATACTCTCAGTGTAGTCTTTCTTTCTTTCTTTTTATTGTTAATTCCCCGCCCCTGCCCCCCTTACTGGGGATTGAACCCAGGGCCTCACACATGCTAGGCACGCCCTCTACCACTGAGTTGTAGATATTGTGTCCATCCACAACTAAAAAAAAATATTGAAAAAAAAAAAAAAAGAAAAGAAAATCAGAATTGCTTTGCTCCTTGTATTACATAATCTGAATGCTAGTGGGGCTTGTGTGTGGCCACATCCCACCTGAGAAATGGGGTGTGAGTGACAGTGAAAGGGTTTGGAGCCAGGCCCTGTGGAAGGACTGTCCACCCTGGAGACAGAACTGGTGTGAGGGCGAGCAGTGGTGTTGTAGAGGCACCTCGACTTCCTTCTGTAAGAAGGACTGAAGGTCGACAGGCTGGTTCTAAGTCAGTGTGAGCTACTGGAGCTTTGGGCAGGTGGAAAGACACCACCTTCCTGGTTTCCACACTCCCAACAGCACTTGTGCCGGGCCAGTTGGTGGAGGCTTCTTGGTGGATGTGATGTTGGAGAATTCAGAAATACCCTCAGGGCTGGAAGACCCAACTGCCAGGCCCCTGTGTTGCCCTGAAGGTAAGCCAGACTTCCGGCTGCTGGCTTCAGGGACAGGAAAGGCCCGAGTTTTCTTTGACCCCCGAGAGATCTGCGCTCTGCTTGTGAAACACTTCACGATCCACACACAAATGGGGCTTTGTAAACGTTATCAAATACTCATTCCCCGTTTCCTTTGCAGCCAGGGCTTGCCATGCGATAAAGATGTTTTTCCCAGCACGACCTTTCCTATGTGGCTCTTGACACCTTTTCCTCTGGGACTTCAATATGTCAAGTTCCATTTCCTTGGCTTGAAGTCCAAGTTGTAATGCTGAGACTTAACTCTTTGGTTTAATCGTCCTTAAAATCATACCTATGTGTAGATTCGCATAAATATTTAAACAGGATTTTAAACTTACTCTCAAATAGTTTTCAAAGTATCTGTGTAAGTAAATCAGAAACGGGTTTCTGGAGAGAACAGTTATTAACCAACAACCTGGTGGCCTGCTTCCCTTGAATGTGCAGGTGGGCTAAGGGTACACAAGTGTAATACTTTAACAAGGTGGTTCTGCTTTACATCTGTCTTTTCTAATGAGTGGATTTTCATGCAGTTAGTTAAGAGGGACTTCCTGGGCCAAATTGTTGGCAAGGTCACTAAAGTTGTCCCTCAGAGTGCACATCACACTGTGTCCAGCATCAGGAGAGGAGTTGATCTGATAATTTGAGGATGCCCATGATTCAGCCCTGAGACAGGCCAGCGGCAGGGAATGGAGGGAAGAGTGTGGGGCAAGAAGGTTTTCACGAAAAGGTGGTTTTCAGGGAGGACTGAAGCCAGGTGCTCTCTTCCGCTGGAGGTATTTCTGTTATCACCTCTTGTATATTGTACTTCCACTCCTGTTCCAGTGTATCTTTTTTTCTGCTTCAGTGGCAAAGAGGATACCCTCTGTCCTCTCCAGGTGAACACTAGCACCTGGTGGGCCCTGGACAGGGCTGATGGCTGCTGCCCTGGGTGAATGGGAGGAGATCTCATCAGTGCAGACCAGTCCCTTCCCATCAGTCCCTGTGCCCCCCCTCGAGAGGCAGAGTTCCTTTAACTTAAAATTGATGTAACAAGAGTTAAGATGGATTTCCTGTCCTTTAAATTCAATAGGCACACAATTCTGCTTAGGGAACTACATGCTGGCCGGCTCTAAAGTGAAACGTCCACGTGAGCAGCCGTCTGGTGTTGATGGGGTGTTTGGCAACATCTTGGCATGTGTCCAGGGCTTGTGTTCATTTCCTCTAGATGTAATGACTCAGATCATGGCCTTTGGGATACAATGGCAGGGAGACTGGGAAGAAAACATTGGAGAGAACTCGGGCTTGGGCGCATTTAGCCTTGCTCTCTCACCTTCGTCCTGCCACGTTCAGCAGGGGCCATGGTCCTGATGGAGGGATTAGAAATGTATTGTTTCTAAGTGTACCATTACCTGGGGAAAGAGAGAGACTCAGACCCTCAAGAAGCAATGCTGGCCATTAGTCTCTTGCTGTTACCCTTGTCCTTAATATTTGAGCATGTGTAGCCTTTTGGGGTGAGGTTTTTGTTTTTTTGAGGGGGGGTGCTGGGGCTCAAACCCAGGGCTCCAGCATGCTAAGCACACCCTGTGGCACTGGGCTCATTGTATGCATGGGAGCAGACAGCTTAGCTCAGTGCTTCCTGAGTTCATGAATTGCAATCTTTGAAGAAGAAAGCACCAGTTCTGAAGTCCAGGCTTGGGCTAGCACCGCTGTGCTGTTTGTTTAGATTCAGACTTATTTTTAGAGGAAGCAGCGAAACTGACAAGAGTGAAACCGTTTTTAAAACTCCTAAACTCTTATGACTGAGGACACCCACACAGCAGGATGGAGTGCCATTAAGTGGACTCTGCTGGCTCTCAGGCAGGTGAGCGAGCGCTGGCTGGAGTGAGAGGTATTTGCTGAGCACATCAACTGTGACCCCCTCATTCGTGCCGTGTGCCCGAGCCTGGCTCAGGAGAGGTGCTCAGAACTGATTCTTGGACGGAGGCTGAAGGGATAGTAAACCTAAACCAGGAGCATCAATTTGATTAAAAATTGTCTTCAGTAATTATAAGGCATTTCTATCTAATCTTCAGACCCTTGGTAACTTCTACCAGCGATTCTTTACTAGCTTAATTTCGGGGGAAATGAATACTGAAAAGCCTAGGAAGCAACATTCTCAGAGTAATATTTAAAATTCAGGAATACTCAGTTTCATGTTTCCCCCTTAACCTGAGTCAGTAAGATTACTGTAATGTTTTTTTATCACTTATGAAATTAGAGAATTTACTAAAAGGAAATCATTCGCCCCAGCCTTTGGAGGATAAACGGGGTACTTTCTCAGAAATGCAAAGTTACCTCGTTGTAGTTTCTTGTTAACTCCTTATTCAGTAACTGTACCTAGAATCTGTGGTTTCTTTAGACTCCCCCATTTAATAAATATATCCTAAATAACACTGTAGTCTGCCCAAGAACTGGGAGGCTGGGGCCAGAGGGCCTGCATTGATAGCCCTGTCCCAGTGCCAGCTGTGGGGTTGTGCAGGGAGTCCACCATCAGGGTCTTCGCCTGAAGAGTGGGTGAATAACCACCTCCTTCCTGCAGGGCCCCATGGGGATTGACTGAGCCACGTGTGCAGAGAACCCAGAGGAGTTAAGCCCAGTCTGTGCTGGGCATCACTGTTGCTGATACATTTACAGAAACATACTCCCCGGCCTGCTAAGACAAGCAGGCCACTTCAGATGCCATCTGACTTGTTGGTGGTAAACGATGGTCTCATTTAGGGCTGGTGGTCTTGTTTGCACGCATCACTTACTCTCATGCCTTTCCCAGACCCTCGTGTCTTGTGGCAGGGACATTATCTTGCTTCTCTCTTTCCCAGGCTGTACCCTGCTGTTTTACGAGACCTATGGGAAGAATTCCACGGATCAGAGCGGGGCCCCGCGGTGCGCTCTCTTTGCAGAGGAGAGCATAGTGCAGTCCGTCCCGGAGCATCCCAAGAAGGAGAACGTGTTCTGCCTCAGCAACTCCCTTGGTGATGTCTACCTTTTCCAGGTACTGCTGGGGCTTTGCGAATGGAGGGTTGAGGTGCTGCCCTGTGATCAAAGGGAACAGAGTTAAAAGACAAAACCGAGAACTGAAGTAAACCCTTAGCTGGGCTCTGGATTAGGACTTGCGCAGCAGACCGTGGTGCTAGCTGCCAGTGCACTGGTACCATGGCCAGTGTAGACATGGGTGCAGCTGGCATTTCCCAGGCACCCATCAAGTGCGGGGCTGCGGCCCATGAGATGCTCACAGGACACAGAGAAACATCACGGTCCCCGCTCCAGCCCCGCTCACGGTGTAGAGAATGCAGCATCTGGGATTCCCAGAGCCGAGTCCTATTAAAGGAAGCCTAGGGAACAATGGAGACTCGGGCTCTTGAGAATTCCAGAGGAAGTCAAAGAATCAGCTTTCTAGGAAAAACCTCCTGGACAAGTGAGGTCTTGTTTCCCCGGGAAAATGGCCTTCGGATGTGAAAATTCCGGCTATCTGCTGTTGGAAGTTTGAGCCACTTTCTAGTTACAAAGGCCGAGTGGTAGAGCATAGGGGTGCTGAGCCTCGGGTACTGGGTCAACCTTACATTTGAACTCTGGTGCTGTGCTGGGGTAAGTAGGTCATCGTGGAGCACCTGGGGAACTTCTGAGCTTCAGACCCTTCAGCGTGTATGTTTATAAAACCTAACAGGATTGCTTTGAGGGTGAATATCATCATATGCATGTGTTCAGTCCTAAAGGAATTCTAACAGTTATTTGAGATGGGGTCTTGCTAGGTTGCTCAGGCTGGTCTCAAATTCCTGAGTTTAAACTCTCCTCTTGCCTCAGTCTCCCAGGTAGTTGACACTATAGGTGCCATCACCACATCTGGCTAAGAAATTTTGACTGTTATTATTGATCCACTCAAAAGAGTTGGGAGTGATCAACAGGAAGTGAAATGTGCCCTTCCAATGCCTCCTAATCCAAGCCGAGTGCTTGATGTAGATGCAGCGTGGGCTGTAGATTGTATCTGGCTGGAGGATTCATAGAAACCTCAGAGAGCCTATGTGATGGACATTATTATCCAAAGAACATGTATGAAGACACGAATGGACGTGAATGTACTTTGTGTACAACCAGAGATATGAAAAATTATGCTCTATCTGTGTAATAAGAATTGCAATGCATTCTGCTGTAATATATAAATAAAAAATTAATTAAAAAAAGAAAGAAAAGAAACCTCAGGGATCCTGGTTTAGGTCTCTGGTAAAGTTGGTCCTAGGTGCCCTCAGAAGCCCTGCAGAACAAATGTTCTCTAGACCAACTTTGGGAGTCTAGAATTCTTTAGTGCCCCTGCATCACGGTTTCCTGAGAATAGCCTTACCTCTGTCCCCAACTGACTTGACTGACAGGAATCAGGGCCTGGAGTATGCTTTTCCTCCTCTTAATAGAAAGATCCTTTAACACCTTTCATGATGTTTTAAAGAAAAATAAGGAATTGATGTCAACCTTAATTCAGGCAGGTAAACCCCTTATGTTAAATTTGTGTGGACTTCTAGGAGTGAGTGTGAAATTAACGTTTTGTGATTCAGGCAGAATATTCTTAGTTCTAAGACTCTCTCCCAATTGGTCCTATTCGATGATCCCAGAGGCCAATGGAAGATCCACTCTTTGGCTTGTATGTATGTGGATATTTCTGGACACCATGAAAGTGCTTCTCAGCCTTCTTAATGTCATATATATTTGCACATTCCACTTAATTTAGGCTTTCCTTATAGTTGTTAAAATATTTTCCTTTTATAAAAATAGTACGGTCTTTGCATCCGAAGTCACTTACCAAAGAGAAACTGTTACAAACGCCCAGTATTGGAAGACGTCTACTTTAATGTCCTTAGTGTGGGTCCTCTCCCTATATTTTTTATTGATTTTTTTTAATAATGGAAGCTACATTGTAGACATAATTTTATATCCAGATTTTGTGTTTTAGCCCCAATATTTTCTTCTTCTATTAGACTGATGAAGAGAAGCAGCCACTCAGAGAGGGGCATGATGGAACAGCATAGATGTGGCTTCGTTTTCTGTCACTTCTGTTGTTGACTCCTGGCCGCTCGTGGCCCCAGGGTTGTGTCTGCTCCGCAGTCCACGTTCTCTCTGGTCCTCTGAGCCCAATGAGTGGTTGGGTGTGTTTTTGAAATTAAACTCTTTTTTTTTTTTTTTAATGAAATGCAGGTATTTCTTGGGATTCACTCATCCAAACCCAGCCTGCCATTCTGGAGAGAAATTTTGTGTCAAGGAATTTCAAACCATCTCCTCGCTCTCTGTGTTTAGGCCACCAGCCAGACAGACCTGGAAAACTGGGTCACTGCTATCCATTCTGCGTGTGCATCCCTTTTTGCAAAGAAGCATGGGAAAGAGGACACGGTGCGGCTGCTGAAAAGCCAGACGAGAAGCCTGCTTCAGAAGATCGACATGGACAGCAAGATGAAGAAGATGGCGGAGCTGCAGCTGTCTGTGGTGAGCGACCCCAGGAACAGGAAGGCCATCGAGAACCAGGTACAGCAACCAAGAGCGTAGACTCGAATTATGAACATAATTCACATACTCTGGGGGAAATGGTTTCTTTTCTTTCTTTATTTTTTTTATTTGTTCATTTTAGTTATACATAACATTCGCATTCTTGTGGTTGTATATGATGTGGAGTTACACTGGTCATGTATTCATGTGTGAACATAGGAAGGTTCTTTCTGATCATTCTACTGGCTTTCTTATTCCCATCCCCCCTCCCTTTATTTCGCTCTTTTTCTAATCCAATGAACTTCTATCCCCCGCCCTCCACTGTGCAGCATCCACATATCAGAGAGAACATTCAGACTTTGGTTTTGGGAGATTGGCTTATTTCACTTAGCATAATGGTCTCCAGTTCTATCCATTGACCAGCAAATGCCATAATTTCATTCTTCTTTATGGCTGAGTAATATTCCATTGTGTATACATATATATCACATTTTCTTCTTCCATTCATCTGTTGAAGGGCACCTAAGTTGGTTTCATAGCTTAGCTATTGTGAATGAAGCTGCAATAAACATTGATGTGGCCACATCCACTATTTTATGCTGATTTTTAGTCCTTCAGGTATATACCGAGGAGTAGGGTAACGGGGTCAAATGGTGGTCCCATTCCAAGTTTTCTGAGGAATTTCCATATTGCTTTCCAGAGTGGTTGCACCAATTTCCTGGGGGAATAGGTTTCTGTGGCTTCTAAGTTCACATACTTATGGCTATCTTGTGTGACACAGGTGATGTGGTTCACTTTACAACCTTTAGTGGCTGATCAGAAACACATTGCACATCCCTCATCTGAAATGCTTGGGACCAGAAGTGTTTTGGATTTTCTTAAAATGTTTGAATTTTGAAATATTTGCGTATATACAATGAGGTATCCTGGGGATGGGACTTAAGAAAAATTCCATAGTAACACACCAATTTGGACAGACTGATGCATTAGAAAGAAATTTTACTTAAAACCCCAAATTAATTTGTTTCATATGCACCTTAAACACATAACCTGGATGTAAGTTACATAATGTTTTAAAGAATTTTGTGCATGAAACAAATTTTCATAGTGTAGGATTTTTAATTGTATCATATTGACACTCAAAAAGTTTTAGATTCTAGAGCATTTCAAATTTGGGATTTCTGGATTAGGGTCGCTCAACCTATATATTGAAATAGTTTATAACCGAATCTTTTTGCCTATGTTAAGTGGTGCCATTTGGCCCAGCTGATTATCTGAAAAATTGTTATTTTTCTGAACAAAATCCATGTGATAAAACCCCCAGAGGATTGGACAGTTAAGTCCTAATACAAAGGATGGCTTGGGAAGGGGGGTTTGGTGTAACGCAGCTAGCTATTCCTGTGTCTGTGGAGTCCAGAAACCACTAACAGACAACAGGGAAAATGCTTTCCTTGGTCTGCTGCCACATTCATGCCGTTGGGTGGCTCTACCCCATGTGCATTGTAGAGGAGGTGAGGTAGCTTTTTAATTTTTATTTTCCTTTGCTTGGACCACCTCAATACTTAGGAAAGAGCTCGCGAAATTTCTAGCCTTCCTCTCAAGTCAGGTTCCCTGGGAAACAGACTGAGCTGGAGAACTGTAAGTGAGGAGTTTTGCTGGAAGCCCTCAGGAGCATTACTGGTTGGGAGTAAGGAGCAGGACTGGGGTGGAGCCCGCAGGATTTTGACCACCAGGCAGGCCCCACAGGAAGCCCTGGAGCTGGGTGGCCCTGCAGAGCTGTCTGCATCGTGGCAAGGGGGCCAGGCTTTCTCGCCTGGCAGCTCCCTTCAGTGGAGGTCAGTCCCCAGAGGCACCCAGCTGTGAGCTTTGAAAGAACACCTCTGTTTCCAACAAGGGGTCCAGGAGATGCAGTGTCCACTATGACCCTTCCAGAATCAGTTGTCAAGTGACTTGAGAACTTGAACAAGGAATAGGGTAATGATAAGTTAGCATGTTCTTGAATTTTTCATCCTTTTTACTTGAAAATGAGGTTCTTAAAAAAATATTCCATAGTAACACAGAGATTTGGACCAATTTATTAGCAAATTTTGCCTGTGATGTTTTACTCACGTCGCATGTCAGTCTTTCATTATGTGTGAATGTTTAGCCTTGTTCAAAAGTTGATCATCTACATATATTTGAAAAACAGTAAGTGTAGAAAGAAATTCAGGTTACAGTGGGAATCACGCATGAATTCAAATGATGTATTTGTGATACGCTAAGAATTTGGAATATATTAGTTAGCAGTAGTAAAATAACCAAATAACTGCCTCTCATCTAGTATTTTTAAAGGACGATGCGATGAATCTTCTATTACTCTTCCCATCTTTTCCTGTTCTTATGTTCCATTTGGTCTTTATTCCTTCTCAGTTCTTTCCCTCTCACCTGCAGGTACTGGTCAACCTGACAGATGCATCTGGCTTCAAGAAATAAAAATAATGATGAATTATGGACCCTGTTGCTGATTAGTGTATAACTTAGTTAGAAAACCTGTTAAATATGAAACTAAAGAACATTCTAGAATGGGATGTTTGGTGACAACTGACAAAGTCATCCAATTTCATGAGGGATCAGAGGGTCGGAGTCGTGGGGATTCCTGGGAGGACATGGCCTTCAAACACTGTGGGGTTGTGCAGGTGGGAAGGATTTCCATGAAAAGACCTGGGGCAGAAGTAACAGGGATGGCTTGGAGCTCCTGGGCACACCACAGAGCGTGTGGCTTGGCAAACGAGGAGTAGTTGGTGCTGAGCTGGACAGGCGCTGGGGCAGTTTTTGGGGTGTTTTGTCTTATTCTGTAACAATGTACTATCAACTTGGTGGCTTAGCAGCAACCCACATGGATTTCTCACAGTCCCCAGGGATGGGAAGTCCAAGGTCAAGGCAGGGCAGATTCCAGGTCTGGTGAGGGCCTGCCTCCTAGAGATGGTGTCTCCTTGCTGTGTCTTCCCTTGGTGAAAGGGCAGGGAGGCTCTCTGGGCCTCCTTTGTAAGGACACTCATTCTCTTCACAAGGGTTCTGTTGCTGACCTAATCCCTCCCCAAAGGCCCGGCCTGCTAATACCATCACTATAAAGGTTGTTTTTCAACTTGAATTTGGAGGGTGGGGCGCATACACATTCAGGCCCTAGCAGTTTTGAATGCTGGGCTTGGATAGAATTTCAACTTGTATTCCACATTCAAAGTAGAAAGCAATCTAGTTTTTGGCGTTGTATCTTGGATCAGGCAGTGACTTGGAGGACAGATTGAAGTGGGGAAAGGCATTGGGCGGTCCGATGGCACTGGTCTGGATGTGCGGATACAAGGGCTTGGTCCTGAGGGATATGAAAGTTCAACAGTTCACATGGACACCAGAGAGCATGGTCTGCTGTGGCTGTGTGGACTCTTAGAGTCACCTCCAGTCCTGAGCGGAACTGTTCTGATACAGGAGATGCCATTATCTTCTACGCCTGCCAGCTGGAGGCGCCAGACTGCAAGACAGTTTCCACGTGGAGGTGAGAAGGCAGCATTAACTCCAGGAAGAGAGCAGGAGTGGAGGGGAAGAGAACAGCAGTGGAGGGGCAACGGGTTGGGCAGGAATACCCCTGCAGCCTGCCGGAGCCCTCCCTGCTCACATCTGGGAGGAGGCTGGTCCTGAGGCTACATGACTGCACTGCCCAGCTTCCTGCCTGGGGAATGCAGGGTGTGCCCAGCTCTGCCCAGGGTGTGAGCGGAGAGCTGAGGAGAGATGGCTATCCTGGTGTTTTCTTTGTACTGCATCCCACCTGGGGTCCTGAGGTTCCACAGTCTAGTTATGACAGCCCTTCTGCTGGGAGAAATATAACTCATGGGGTCCGGTGTCACAGAGTGCTCGGGTGCCCTCGTCAAAGACCACATAGGACAGCGGTGGGATAAAGTACAGTTTCAACCCTTCTGTCTCCTGAGCTTAACTTTGGAACCATGTGTCTGGAAGGGGCACTCAGTTTAGAGTTTTCAGGGCCTTACATTTAGTTGAAGATTTACGTTTAGGGAGAGATGAGGGAACATTGACAGGCTCCCTTTATGTATGTGGACCTTTTTTTTTTTTTTTTAAAGTTATAGATGAACACAATACTTTTATTTATTTATTTTTATGTAGTGCTGAGGATTGAACCCAGTGCCTCACGCATGCTAGGCCAGCGCTCAACCAGAGCTACAGCCCCAGCCCCTATATGGAGCCTTTTTATGGCCACAAGAAGTCCAAGCACATGAATTTTTCATCAGGTAGTTTTTTTTTTTTTTTTTTTTTGCCTGCCTGTAGTTTGTGAATGCCTGATGGATGATGTCACCTTTGGTGCCATTCTTTGATTGGGAGGGGTTACCCTTGCACAAACCCTTTCACAAATCAAAGGGTCCAGAATGATTGGCCTCAAGAGTTACTTCTTATAAAGAATTAGGGTGATGGTCACTTGGGGCCCATTGTCCACTCTTGCCAGAGTCCGTACCTTGGTTATTTTGTCCTCGTGCTCCTTGGTTTTCATTTCAGGCTCCAACCCCACCGGCTTCCTCCCTGCTCCTGTATCTCCTCCACCTACCCCACACACACCTCCTGCATGCTCATCTTCTAGTTGTACTCTAGGGAATTTCTGGTAAGATCCTGTTTGGATTGAAATTTAGAAATTTCACCTGAATAGTTTTTAGGTTATAATTTAGTCCTGTTTTCCCAAAGGACTTTGCAGTTATTGAAAAGCATCACATCTGGCCATGAAAGGTGAAGGAGCTGTTTACTCTCGACTTGCAGACACACAGACTGAGAAACACACAGACACACAGCGGGGAAGTAAGCACATGCTTGGAATTGCTTTTATGAGATCCCCTTTGACTAGGAAACGGTAATGTGACCACAAAGGTATTTACAGGCTGAGGCCACTTAGGTCCAGGCTCCCAATATCCCATACACGTACAGTGTTTAAAACCTCTATGAAAGAGCAGTATTCAGTGCACTTACCATTTAAAAGTCTCAAGTCCACTACATACTTTTTTTGG